ATGTATTTCTCCCAGAGATAAAATATAAGAAGTCATCCAACCTATAGACCAAATAAAAACTACAGAGTTTATCTGCTTGGATAGCCACCTATTCCAGGAAGATCTGCTATGCTCTATGTGCCCCTCTACATGCTCCCCCCCCCCCCTGCTGTATGATGCTGCAGATTGCAGCAAAGTTTTTTTTTAAGTTTTCCTGCTCCACATTTTCTATTCTCCTTTTTCCAGTGTTCTAGTGAGCAACTGAACAGTGTGAAGTCCTGAGAAAAGGTAAATTCAAACTTTTGGCTCCTATTACTTCCCACAAATAGTGTTTCTGGCTTGTTCTTCTGGTAGATGCTAACTCTTATAAAAACCCCAAATTCAGAAGAGTTTTGGCCTATTGTTATATGCAAACACATTTTTTTATTTATATATCAAACTTCTTAACTGCCCATCTCATGTTATTCTATACATTATACTTAAATTGTTATTTTCTATATTATTGTTTATGAAACTGCAATATAGAATATTAAAAAGCACAGGCTAAAAATTAAGGGCAACACCTAGAAATGCTACACATGACTGTATCAATTTTACAGGTACTTTGGTCTTACAGTTTGGTTTATAGGTGCACTGTACCCCACTGTCCTGCAGTTCAGCATGAACTGAATGAAGTTTGAGTCAGAGGTTTTACTGATTATCTGAAACTTTCTAACTACACGAGTTAAGGGTTAAAAACGTTGAGGTTGAGGTTTATTTGATTTATATGCCGCCCTTCTCCCAANACTACATTTGATTCTATGGTCCCATTGAAAAAGGACAAATGATTTTAAGAGGGTATGTAAGCCCACAGTGAAGAAATAGACAAAGAGAACAAATGAAAACCCCAAAATATAGTTCAAAACAAATAATTAAAGTCATTAATTTAGACATTGAAGTCTAGTTTGAAAATCTAAGATGTACAAAAGACATGACGTGAATAAAAATGGCTGCTGAGTTAATATGAATTATGTTTGTTGACTGTGGAAGAGATGCACGAAAGTCTTTTTGTAACCAACTGATGATACACTTTCTACAGCATGTAAAGAAGGATGTTATGTTTGTTTTAAATAAAAAAAAATATTTAAAAAAATGGCTGCAGAGATGCAATTTAGCTGTTTTCCTTCTTTTTTGTCATTTTATTTATTTAAACACACGTTTATGTGCTTTTCAGATATTGGAAAAATTAAAGGTAAAAGTGCATAAGTCAAAGAAGGCAGAAAAAATAAATCAAGCAACAACCAACCATTTATTTCAAGGAAGGGGTGAAAAAGCTAGGAGAGATTTTTTTTAAAAAATGAGCTGTTTTGATGTAACTTGATATGGTCCTCTAAAAATATTTATTCGCATTATGTTACTTTGTAACTTCCTCACAAAAAGATATCCTCTCCAGGATTGTCCACACAATTTTGCCTAATTTTCATCAGCCAGAAAAACAACTGCTTCTAAGCTTCTGCTTCGATCTTAGCACCAGGAAGGTAACCTCAACCCTATCAGTCACTGCTGTTGGCACCCTCTGAAAAATCACCTCAAGGATAAGTGGTCCCTAGACACCTACAACCCTCTACAAATTGTCTTGTTACAAGAAAGCCTGCTACCATTCTCAATGGTCTTTCTAGTGGCTCCGATAGAGCTCATGGAATTATGCTATGGTATAAGGAAACAGAGACACTCCTTCCTTGAACACCTTTTTCACTAGTGCAAGCATTTAAGGGAAAAACAGATATGAGGATTTCTAAGAAATAAGATTCTAAGATGTTTGTGCTTCTACAACGTGATGAAAAGGATGACTTCAAAATGTAATCACTATTTCTATTTTGATTGGAAGAATATATAATTCTTGCTTAATGAAGCCTCTCAGTAGCCCTAACCCTAACCCTAACCCTTGTAAAGAGATGGGCGCTTTTATTCTTAACTGTTTATGCTTTGTAGTGAAAACAAAGAGTATTCAGTTAAGAAAAAAAATCCCAGAAACAATGGAAATAATACAGAGAGAATGCCAACCCTCCACTATGCAAGGGATCAAGAAGCTATATGCAAACAGTTCTGGAATGGCAGAAAATATGAAAATAGTAAGAATTTATCATGTTGACCCTTTACAATGCAGAGGTAATAACAACAAAGCCAGAAAAAATTCAGTAAATGTGCCTCTGAAGGACATTTTTAAAAATTACAAATTAAAAGTCCATTCATAACTGTTTCACCTATCCTGGTTACAACAGAGATTGCTACCAAATAAAATGTTAAATATTTTCTGCAGAATACTTCCACTTGCAGACAATTGTAGCATATTTAAATGTTACAAATACCAGCGCTTGGGCTAATTTCTGCTTTGTGACAGAGAGTAGGCTGTACATTTGCTGACAGGTTTTGTCTTTTTGGGGGGGTGGGGGAGCCTTTGGAGATCTTTAAAAATAAGAGAAAGTAATTTCTACTTGATGAATAAATGAACTAAGAATCTCACACTTTTAGTAATCCTCCTTGCCTTTGTTGTTCCATCACATTATCCAAGCAGTTCCCTGTTATTTTTTAGAGCAAACTCTAAGGAAATTGATTTTGGTCCATGCTATTATCCCAAGCAGCAACAGAGACTGTCAGATTGAGATAAAAAGAGAAAGTGGAATGTCATTAGTGCAGGTGTCGTCAACCCAGAGCTGCATGTGGCTCTTCGACCCCTCTCTTGTGGTTTCCTGCCAACCCGGTCATGTGACATGCTCTCCGCCCCAAGAAGGTGCAAGCCTCTCCGCAGAGCCGCGTGGCTGAAGCACTCATAGCATTTTCTCCACACTGCCCGTAACTGGCTGCTTTTTGCGATTCTGTGTCCTTCACGGGCAGCTCAGTGCCAGCAGCGGTCCCCCTCATGTGGGCTCAGGAAGGAGGGGAACGGAGGAGCAGCTGCCGCCACCAGATGCAAGGAGGGAAGGGCTCAGGCTCTTCTGGACAATGTGGGCTCTCCTGCGCTGCTCACCTCACTGCGCACTAGCGGCAGCAGGAGGAGTCGCTGTCCCTATCGCCGCCGTGATCCCGGCCCAGGAGGGTATTCTGCTTGGGCGTACTCACGTCCGTGAGAGAAAGAGATGAGAGAGAGAAAAGGGGAGAAAAAGAGAAGTAGAGCCAGCCACAAGCTGAGATGAGGAGCAAAGAGGATCACCTCTCTCTATGATTTCTGCCCATCGTTTGAGATCTGACAGAATTGGTACTATCTGGTTCCTGTTGCTTCAGCAATGCAACTAGTAGAACTCAGAACACAGTATTTATTTATTTAACAAAGGAAAGAAGGATGGAAAGAAGGGAGGGAGGAGAGAAAGAGAAGGGAGGGAGGGAGGGAGGAAGAGAAAGGGAAGGGGGGAGGAAGGAAGAGAGAAATGAGAAAATGATGGAGGGAGACAATGAGAGAGAGGAAGAAACAATTGAGAGAAGGGGGAGAGAGAGAAGGTGAGAAAGAAAAATGAGAGGGAGGGAGACAGAGACAAATGAGAGAGAGAGAGGGAGGGAGAAAGAGAGAGAGAGAGGGAAGGAGAGAGAGAGAGAGAGAGAGAGAGACCTGTTTCCCATAGAAAACACTGGGAACCACAAAACCTGGGTAGGCGTGGCTGAGGGGTGTCAAGTGACTGGGTGGGAGTGAGTGACATCGAGTTGGCCACACCCACCCAGGTTTTGTGGCACCTGGTGTTTTGTTTTCTGTGGGAAATGGGTCCAAATGGCTCTTTGAGTGTTTAAGGTTGCAGACCCCTGCTCTAGTGCAAGATCTTTGTTCCACTGATGACTTCTCAAGTGCCAGGTCCACCAGGGAGAAGCAGTGGACTCTAATCATTGCTTGGCTAAAATGGCACACAAAGGAAAGAAGGAGCTGTTCCCTAATCTGCCTACCAGCTGACAAGATATTTGAATCTGGTAAAAATAAATTTTTCATACAAGAATCTACTTTCAGTAGAAATGTATGACAAACAACAATGTGGTCCCAAAGATGGCACCTCTGTAGAAAGTGTGACTCTTTTTGCTAGGGCTGATATAGAGAATCTTGGGAAATCTGTCTACTTTCACACATTAATTACCAACTGGACTTAGGAGTCTGAAAAAAGGAGAAAACTACTACTAGGACTTTAAAAGGGGCCATGTGCGGGCATTACCTAAGGAAGACTTAAAAAAAAATATTATTCTGAAACTACTTTTGGGATAAAGGGGAAGGTAGCAAGAATGGAGAGAAGCATTTGGATTATGATGTCCCTCTTCATCTTTTTCAAAATAAGGTAGCATAAAAATTGAACTGTGCAGGTTAGATGTTTTAGTGGCAACTCTTGATGAGCATTTGTATGATTATTGTCTAATCATGCCCCATATCAGACCAAACTAGAGATCCGCTCTGACTGAGCCATGGCATCTAAGAAGCAATATTAGCATTATAATTGATCCTGCTAAATTATTCAATTGGTATATAGTACTTTTATACCAGAAACTGCTGTGGCTTCCATATCCCTTGTATAGACTACACATATGCTCACTCCTTTGATTCCACAAAAGGCTCTCCTGCTTTTAAAGAATACTTTGATTTATTTCAAATGAATATTCATAAAATTCATGAAAAGGAAAATTCAATTGAATAAATCAGCAAGAGTCAGCATTGCAGAGAACCTGGTAATTTTTGTCAACAGAAATGTTTAAATGTCCCCCAAATTACTGAAAGTGTGACATTCCTCTCCTTCCCCTTGAGCCAAATCAATAGCTCTTGTTTTGGGGTCTTCCTAGACTAAAGCGGTTAAAGACGCTTAGCTTGTCAGCCGTTAAAGGTGCTTAGCTTGTCAGCTGGAAAGTGAACAGCCCTGGTTCGAGACCAGAGCACTGTGCAACGGGATGAGCTCCCATTCCTGACCCAGCTCCTGCCCATCTAGCAGGTTGAAAGCATGCAAATCTGAGTAGATTAATATGTACCACTTCGGTGGGAAGGTAACAGCATTCTGTGAGCCTTTAGCATACAGACATGCTGGCCACATGACCACGGAAAATGTCTTTGGACAATGCTAGCTCCCTCGGCCAAGAAACAGAGATGAGCACCGTGCCCTAGAGTAGGACACAACTGGGCAGGGAAACCTTTACCTTTTTTACCTATGTTACTTCCTGGTCCATGTAGCAGTTGAATTAGGGTTTATATTATTACGTATCAATTCCCAAAAATACAGCTCCAGAGAGAGGGAGAGGGACACAGTGCTATATTCCATGAAGGCTAAGGGAAAGGATGGAAAGACAATTAGCATTTGTGAAAACTCTCACATAATATCCCTCTCAAGTTCAAATGCCTCCAAAACAAGGTTAAGTTGGTAGGAAAAAATGACCTAGTCAAATATTCAGAACATAATAAGTGATGAGTAATAAGAGACAGCAGAGAAGTAATAATGGAACAAAACCCTCAAAGAGCCCTTTCCCTACTGGCTTTCAGGGTAGCACAACAGAGCTCAGATAGCCTCCACGTAGTTAGCTGGAAGCATTCCTGTGTCACCGGTCCGCTCAACGGTGCCGTACATCCAACCATCATCAATTTGCTGCACATTGATTATGGTGTCACCATCCTGGAAGGAGACCTCATCTTCATCGGCTGCACTGTAATCATAGACTGCACGGAACCGTTTCTGTGTGGTGTACATGGGGAAGGGGAGAGAGAAGAAAGTAAAGGATAAATAAATGCTCAGAAATGATGATATTCCCAAAACAGGAAAAAGGAGAGAAGAACAGCTTTAATATATAGCTTCAATTAGTTTTATTTGGCAATATTTGTGACAACTCAGGAGCTTCAAGAAAGTGCAGGAAATATGGCTAAGGGTCTGCAGATAGAGGCTGATGAAAGGGTCTATTCCTCTGCCCACTCTAATTTTCAAATAACCTGAACCTCCAAAAATTGGGAAATTTTATCTGCAGAAAATGAAATCCAAGCAGAGAGGAAGAGTTACCAGTTTTCCTTGTTTCACATCTTATAAACTACAAATTAATACTGATCTCTTTATGTCCTAAAGTTTCCACACTTCCCTGTTGCTTAGATCAGCCCTAGTATCCAACTCATTGTACACTGTGTACACAATTATTAGGCAAGTAAGTATTTTGACCATATCATCATTTTTATGCATATTTTCCACCTCCAAGCTGTATAAACTTGAATTCTTAGTGGATAGAAGCATATCAGGTGATGTGTATTTGTTTAATGAGGGAGGGTGTGCCCTAAGGAGATCAACACCCTATATCAAGATGCGCATAATTATTAAGCAGCTTCTTTTCCTCAGGCAAAATAGGCCAAAAAAGAGATTTAACTGACTCTGAAAAGTCAAAAAATGTACAAATTCTTTCAGAGGGATGCAACACTCTTGAAATTGCTAAGATATTAGAGCGTGATCACAGAACCATCAAACATTTTGTTGCAAATAGTCAACAGGGTCACAAGAAACATGTTGAGAAAAAAAGACACACATTAACTGCCAAAGATTTGAGAAGAATGAAACGTGAAGCTACCAGGAACCCATTATCCTCCAGTGCTGTTATATTCCAGAACTGCAACCTACCTGGAGTGCCCAGAAGTACAAGGTGTTCAGTGCTCAGAGACATGGCCAAGGTAAGGAAGACTGAAATCCGACCACCACTGAACAAGACACATAAGTTGAAATGGCAAGACTGGGCCAAGAAATATCTGAAGACAGATTTTTCAAGGCTTTATGGACTGATGAGATGAGAGTGACTCTTGACAGACCAGATGGATGGGCCCATGGCTGGATCAGTAATGGGCACAGAGCTCCACTTCTACTCAGACTCCAGTAAGGTGGAGGTGGGGTACTGGTATGGGCTGGTATTATTAAAGATGAGTTAGCTGGACCTTTTTGGGTTGAAGATGGACTCAAAATCAACTCCCAAACCTACTGCCAGTTTTTAGAAGACAATTTCTTCAAGCAGTGGTACAGGAAAACGTCTGCATCTTTGAAGAAGACCATGATTTTTATGCAGGACAATGCTCCATCACATGCATTGAAGTATTCCACTGCATTGTTGTAATATGGTTCCTTGTGTAGGTGTGTGTCCTCCANGAGAAGGACAATCATCTCCCCGAAGCTCTCCTCAAACACGACAGGACACCATCTTGGGCATGCGCAGAGATAATCTTGATAACTTCAACATTCAGTTAAAATCAGAGAATCAATAGATCCTTTCAGACTAAATATCACAGTATCTTGAGCTGCTTTCTGTGTAGTTTCACACACAGAGATAAGACTTGCAAAATCATTCCTTTCCAATAATATACTTTGATGCAATTTAAATAATTTGCTTAATATGTATACCTTTCTTCCTGCCTTCACCTGAACCTTAGAGATAGACCATATCATAGGGTTGTAGTTAAGCGTTAAACTACTTATTTCAGAATAAAAACCTGACATATTTAAAAGATATTTTATATACACATCAATGTAGGACCACACTTACTCCTCCTCCAGTTGGGACACTATGCTGTATTGAGACTGGTGCTGCTGGTTCCTTATCGCCACAGGACTGAGAGGCTGGTTGTTGTGGTGACTGCTGATGGTAAACTAGGATTTTGGGGATGAGGGGAGACAGACAAATTGTTAACTGCAAGCAAGTTATTAAATGTTTACTGATTACAACTTGAATCTGCATTGGATGACTATCAATGCAAAATTCCTGATGAAGATACTGTGTTTCCCCGAAAATAAGATAGGATAGATTATTTTCTTTTGACACCCCCACCCCCGCATAATAAGGGTTTGGCAGTATTATCAGGGGGGCTTATTATTTTAGGGGTGCAGGAGGTGGCGAGCGTGGGACTGGATGTCCCGTCACCACCTCCCCTCCCTGTTCTTCGCGCCAGCTGAGTGGCTGGCCAGCACTGCCCTGACATGTCCTACTGCTGCCGCCGCCTCAAGGAGCAGGACTCTGCAAGGCTTGTTGTGACGTTGCATGCACTAACTGAAGCACCACCATGAGCTTCACCATACCGGCACAGCTGGCATCCTGCTGCTCACAGCTGCATGTCGAACCTCGCAGCAGTGCTGCCGTTCGTGTGTGCAACGGCACAACAAGCCTTGCATAGTCCTGCTCTACAAGACGGTGGTGCGACGAGTCTCTCAAAGACTCATTTCTGGCATTTTTTGACAGGTGACAGGTGGGGTGGGTGAGAAGCAAGATGCGTGTCTTACCTTTCCAGCTCCGTCATGTTCCTCGCCATTGTGTCCAGGGAAAAATGTAAAAAAACCCTTCTCGAACATCTCGAACTCGCAAGGAGGTTTTTTTACAACGTGTTTCTCAGGAGACAATGGCGAGGAGCGCAATGGAGCTGCCAGCGTCCGGTAATATGCGCAGCTTGCGCTGGGGTGTAATTTGGGGGGTGGCATGTGGGGTGGAGCGGGACGTGAGATGCGCGTCTTACCAGACACTAGCAGCTCCGTCGCATCTCTCAGGGAAACACCTTGCACAGTAAAGAAAAAACTTCTCATGAGTCCGAGAAGTTGTTAATTGCCCGCACTTAACAACTGATAAGTTTTTCTTTACCGTACAAGGTGTTTCCCTGCACAGTCCAGCTGAGAGATGCGATGGAGCTGCCAGTGTCTGGTAAGATGCACTGGGGTGCAATTTGGGGGGGGAGGGGCGCTCTTTTTTTAGCAGGCACTCTTTTTGCGGCAGGCACTCTTTCTTCCATGGCTGCTCTCTTTGATGCGGCCGCTCTTTTTGCACAGCCATCAGCGTTACCGTTAGGTATGGTAATGGCATGTGGAGTGTGTGGGGCATGTTCCCCCCTCCCCCCTCCATCCTCGCCTCCTCACTTCGTGTTGTTTGTGCAGAAAGCAAATAGAGGAAATGGCGGGGACCGGCTGCGCATTCGTTGAAGTCGTTTTGAGGGTGGCTAATTTTTGGGGGGGGGGCAGCTTAGCGCATGCACTGAAAAGCCCAATTGGGCTTAGTATCAGGACATGTCTTATTTTTGGGGAAAGGTGGTATCTATGAGATGCAAAGGTCACAAATTGAAATGCTACCTTAAGACAACAAAATCTGGTAAAGCATTAAGTACAATCCTTTCTTTTCATCATTGTTTCTATTTGACATTATGTTTTCAAAACTCCTTTGGTATGAAATCATTTGTGCTGTTTATTTGTGGATTGATGTAATTTTAGAATTACATGGCATGCTGCAAAATTCTGTCCGGCTGTTTTTTGAGCCTGGTGTCACTACTTAGAGACTAATTTCTAATAATTTGTAATCAAATGGAACCACAATTTGTGATTATTAAAGCTTAACAGTTTTATGCCTTAATTTTAATTGAATCTTATATTGTTTCTGCATGGTCTATTGAGTGCATGCATTTGAATAGTGGTCAGTGATTGTAATAAAATTGAATAGAGTAACTGAACAGAATATCATTTATAAGAAAATGGAAGGTGTTACCAACATATTTCTATCTGCAATTATTAGTCCTATTACTTTTATATTTTTGGTGACCACAACTGTTTATTTTGCCTAGTATTACAGATAATCATTCCAGCTTAGCATACAATATTGACAGGCATCATCTACAATGCTTTTCTTGCTTTTAATATCAGATGGATAAACTGGGTACAGAATGCCATATTTGGCATCAACTAGCATAGTCTTTCCAACTGTGTTATATTATTCCCTGTCACTTTAGCATAAGCTCCACCTCCCACTTCTCACTGCTATGGAATTGTTTCATTTCACACATGTATCTCATGAGTCTTCTAACAATAGAAATCTGATGTTTTGCGATACTAACATGGATTGGGGTTAGGAAGACTTGAGTTCAAGTCCCCCGTCAACCATCAATAGTAACTTTGGGCCAGTTCCTTTTTTCAGCCCAACCTATCTCACAGCTAAATTAAAAATGAGACTCTATCCCAGCACGAGTTCCTTAGATTGCTTTGTAAGAAATAAATAATAATCATAAACTATAAGGCTTCATAAAACACTGCCTTATAAGGTAAACAGAGGCAACCCAAATTAATACTTAAATTCATGTGAATACATTGATGGGATTACCAACAATCTCTCTTTCCTCCTGCTCATTACCAAGGTTACTTGGCTGGGCATGATGAGGTTGCTGATGTGATGGAGGCGGCTGCTCAACTGTTCTCCTGTAATTGGCACCTTCTTGGGAATTACGGAGCTCCAGCTCCCCTTCCTCCCCTCCAGGAGCACCCATCTTGCTCTTCTCAAATTCTGCATGGTATTTTATCTACAAAAGAAGGAAAATATATTATTAGCAAACAGTATTGAGACAAATGGAAAAGCCTTATAATGTATTTTCCACATCACTAGTAGAAACCTTTCTGGCTCCTTGCTGACCTTCATTATGTCCTGCATTCTTGTTTCCACTGTCTTGATGAAAATTCAATGATTGCAATCGGTTTGTGAACTCCACTGAAAGCCACAAATGACTATACAAATAGCTTAAGGGAAGAGGGTCAGGAATTGGTTCTTGTCTTATAACAAGATGAGCAACCTTTCAGCAGTCAAGAACTACAATAGGCAGCACAATGACTTCAAGCTATTACTGGAGAGTACTAAAATGATCATCTTTTTTTCTTTAACAATTCCACATTTGTGTATCAAAAGATTAACACACCAAATTGCCTTTGTTACCTACTCATTACAGGTAGTCCTTGACTTATGACCACAATTGAGCCCAAAATTTCTGTTGCTAAGCAAGACAGTTCTTAAGTGAGTTTTGTCCCATTTTACAACTTTTCTTGCCACAGTTGTTAAGTGTATCACTGCAGTTGTTTAGTAACATGGTTGTTAAGTGAATTTGGCTTCCCTTTGCTTGTCCAAAGGTCACAAAAGATGATCACATAACCCCGGGACACTGCAACCGTCATTAAAACATGCCAATTGCCAAGTCAAATGAAGATCATGTGACCATGGGGACACTGCAAAGGTTGTAAGTGTGAAAAATGATCATAAGTCACTTTTTTCAGTGCCACTGTAAATTTGAATGGTCACTAAACACACGGTTGTAAGCCGAGGACTACCTATACTCACTATTCATCAGGAAAAAATTCTATGCTGTTTAGCAATTTCTTACCTTACAGTATTCTGTTCAACCTTCCTCTACACTTGATGAATTGCCGTAATATAGGATATCAACCAGAAGATGGAAACAGAGAGCCATATACTATACTGTGGAATGTAATCAATTCCCCCTCTTCTTTCACCCATTGGGCTGTCTTTCCTAGCCAGACTATGGAACATAAATCACTGCTTTCAAACCTTTAGGATGAAGGTTGGTTTAAGGTTGGATTTGTAACTGGCTGACAAACCGTACTCAACAAAGTAGTCTTTAATGGTATTACATCTACATGGAGGAAAGTAAGCAGTGGGGTACCATAAGGTTCAGTCTTAGGCCCAATACACTTCAATATCTTTGTCATGCCCCAGCCTATAACTTTTATATACTGTTGTTGCTCTCTAGCCCTATCTAGTGGCCAGAGGGACAAATACCAAGTATATTGTTTGAAGCTGACCCCACCCTTTTACCCATCAGTCCGCACTCTCAAAACAAGTGCATGCTGGGAAGCCAGACTCCGTTTCCTTTAGCATTTGGAGAAGGCAGAAGCACAAAGAAGAATCCATCTTAATCTTTGGCACATGGTCATCCAAGGACAAACCCACATCCCACACATAGAGCATCGCTGGTAAGATTTAAATTGCTTGTATTATTAATTAATAATAATATTAGTAAATTAATTATGATCAGAAGTAATCTATTACTGTCTATCTTGTATTTGGTTCTTGTTGTATGTATTTCTATTTTCCCCTGTTCTTTCAATAAAGCATCCAGATCCACACAAATGGTCTGTTTTTTTGGAGGATAGGTGGGTTAAGCTGCATGTCGAGCTACACACAGACTAACGTGTAGTGAGGACAGAACAGGGAGACAGCGGCTACCCAGCAAGTGGGATCCAGGGTAACGACTATACAGAGACCTGCTACTCTGCCAACACAGCTACCTACATACAGCCATACAGCAGCCTCTAGACAGTCAAGCGCCTCCAGAAGACACCATGTCACAGAGCTGGGCATTTTCATACAAGACAAGGTCTCAAGTCTCTAATTCTTACAAACAGTCATCAGACAGTAGTGCACTTGGCATTGCCAGTGCAAAGGCTGAAGTAGCAAAAGCATGAGCAGTCTTTGCTGAACAAGAAATAGAAATGAAAAAAGAGAGAGCACGGTTAGAAGCTGAAGGAATGCAGCAACAGGCATCCTGGGAAATGCAGAAAGCACAGTTAGAGACTGAAAGAATGCAGCAAGAAGCATCCCTGGAAATGCAGAAAGCCCTGTTAGACACGAGCCTAGAGCGGGTTGCCATAGAGAAAGAAGTAGCAGCTGCCACAGCCGAAGTCAAAGCCTTAGAGAGAGCTGTATATTCTGATGACGAAGGCAGTAAACACAGCAATGTGCTTGGGCCAGAAGCTGAATCCCAAGGTCCTCTGCAATGCACTTCAGAGTACGTCTATCAGTACCATCGACCATGGTATCCTTCTGCGACGGTTACGAGAGGTGGGAGTGGGCGGCACTGTTTTCCAGTGGTTCTCCTCCTACCTCTCGGACAGGTCG